GGCAGAAGGCGGTCTCTCAGATAGTCAGATCCACTACCATGGTAGTGTACCATGGTTTTAGCTCACACTGTTAGACTTTTGATGATGCTTCTGAACTGTGAACCAAAGGATTCTTTGGGTCTGAAGCCCAAGGAATGACAAGGTTAAGGTTCAGGCTGAGGTCAACCAGAGAGTGGTTAGATGTGACTTCACACATAATTTTATAGAAAATTAGCCGATAACCCAGTGTTGCCTCGGTATTTATTTATAAGGGGAAAATGTCTGCACCAAATGGAATTTCTAATATTGGATTTCCCCCCTTACCAGAGGGAACCCCCTTGTGAAGTGCTGTGAAGCCGTTACCATGGCAACTCCACATCACTGTACAGTAGAAGCCATTTTAAGGCACAACAGGCTGTATTTTAACAGAACACACTCCCCGAGGGGTGTTAGGGGCATCTTACCCCCCACAGTATTTGTTTCCAGAGGTCCCGGAATATATGGAAAAAAGAATTGACATATTTCTTCCAGGAAAATAGAAAGGAAGACACATCATTACAGAACATATGGGATATTCGTAAAGCATGTATCAGAGGCCTTGCAATGACATACTTAGGAAAAAAGAATAGACAGAACAGGCAAACTCAAAAGAAGTTGGAATCAGAGTACAAAAATTTGGAGACGGAGCTGCAGAAAAACCCACAAAATAAAAAAGTAAAAAAATATGATTGAACAGCAAAAACATAAATTGAACCTGATAGAAAATGAGGACTTGGCAAATAAAATAAGATTGGCAAAATAAAACTTTTTTTTGAAAATGCAAATAAACCAGGATGTTGGCTGGCTTACAAGATGAAAAAGGAAAGAGAGAAAAAAGGGCTGATAAGTCGATGGGTGGATGAAGAAGAGAATATACAACGTTTAAATGAAAAAAAAAGGGGGAAATAATTGAGAACTTCTACAATTCATTGTATCAACATGAGACGGTTCCAGAAGGGAAAATACAACAATATTTAGAGAAAACTAGAATAACCAAAATCCCATTATTTGTTTCCAGAGGTAATCTGTGTACAAAGTTTGAAACTTGAAATTGCTCAAGGTGTTCCAGAGTTATGCTGGAATACACACACACACACACACAAACAAAGAGAGAGAGAGAAAGAGAGAGGGAGAGGGAGAGGGAGAGAGAGATGGAAGATTATGTCTGTTCTAGAGAGGATGAGCTGGGAAAACCATTACAAACATTTACTCTAATGGCATTCGTCAGAAAAATAGAACTAAATATTACTGACAGAACTCTCTCCATATCCAATGCTGAGAATTAACTCTCTGCTTTCAGTGAATTTCATTGGGCATTTAGGGGAAATAGATTTTATATCTTGTTTATGAATGATTTTCCAAATTATATGCCATTTTCCCTAACTGGTTCGGTTTCCCCTCCCTCCTCCACTTTGCAATAAACATGCAAAGACAGCTTCATTTGCTTCATTTAGGTAATATTCTGTGCAAAGCAGAATCATTATTCTTAATTTTAGTGATGCTTTAAATATTCGCATATGCCAAGCATAACCACAGACAGAGATACTAGCACACTATAATAGTATAATTGATTCAGAATGGGAAGCTATGACCTTAATGTAATTTTGGTCCTGCTTTTTTTAAAAAAAATATGTTTGGATGTTTTATTTCTATACTGGATTTCTGACTCGATGGATTCTGGGCAGAGTAGAATTAATGCACATAATAGTAGCAGGGAAATGTTGTAAATATGTCCATTAGCTTGCCACAAAAGACTCCGAGGCCTGAGTTTCCTCAAAGTTCCATTTTATTAGAGATGTCCTATTGGCAAATCTGGGAAAACCTGAATCGGAAAATTTCCAGGTTTTCCACACCTGGAGGGAGAGGGAGAATAGACAGACACAGATAGATAGATAGATAGATAGATAGATAGATAGATAGATAGATAGATAGATAGATAGATAGATAGATAGATAGATAGATAGATAGATA